CACCAGCATAAGCACCCACCTTGGGAGACATAATGAAGGGCAAATAGTTCCCTCAAAAAACGACACAAACGAGAGATAGCGAATGAAGCAGAAATCCAATATGGCGTCCAGCCGGTGAAGAAACAACGCCGTCTTCCCCATATAGCACCACGTGACGACGTATTATATTATGGGAGGTGGCACCGTAACCACGAAACGCCGACGTAACCCGAGGAACTTCTGTATATACACAAAAAGAATGGGCTGTAAAACTACGATGTTTTCTCATTGGACTTATTCAGCATTTACAGTAAGATGATTTTGAAGAGGAGTAGAAGTTGATCCCTTGTTTCCTGTTAAGGATTGGGTTTCTGGTTCTTTCTAAAGCCGTTTCATTCTCTTTTACTCACAGTAAATCTTTGCGTCTCAGTGGTATTATTATCTTGCTTGGGGTGAATTGATTATTAAATAAAAATTAAAATTCCTACTAGTATTCTTTATTGGCGGTCACAATCTTAACAACATATGGTATGCAGTTGGCACAGTGTTGATAGCAGATACAGAAAAGGAAGTACAATAACTTCTACAGAAGGTCGTAAATGAAATCTTGAGGAAATGACTCAAAAACAGTTGTAAGAAGACATTATGTATGGTTTCCAGAAAAATAAATAAAAACATGCGAATTACAAATTCTAAAATTTAACAAGTGCATTGGAATAGCGAAAGATGACTTCCAAAAGCTAAGCAAAGTATTAACAAAAAAATTTCATTAGAAAAGAGTCCTAATCAGTTATATAATATCGGTCCTCCCATAAAGCAGTGAATGCTAGACCATCACATCACAGATGAAGAAGTAACACAAAGCAACAGAAATTAAGTTCTACAGAAGGATGATGAGAATATGATGAATTGAAGATGTGAGCAACGATGAAGTTTTATGAAAAATGGAAACAAAAAGGAAAAACACTTAACACTAGAAAGTGACAATTGAAATTCCTAGGGCACGTAATGAGAAAAGAAGGCTTGGAAAATGTGACACCCACAGCAAATATTGATGACAAAAGAGTCAAAGGAAAGCAGCCTATAAACAAATTATCGAGCTTGTATCAGGAAATTGTGGAGAGCCTTGTTTGCCCACGACCTGAGGGGACACAGCACGTAACAGAAGAAGATAATAGCAAAACCATAAGACCCCGAGTTGCTAAAAACAATCATTAAAAATTGCTAAAATCAGCAAGATTTTTAAAGTTTAAGTTTATTCTTAACAAAGTTGACATGTAACTAAGTAACTTAACACGGAATAGGTGAACAATTCGTTCTAGTATTTATTTTAAGTCGTTTTTTTTTTTTTTTTTTTTTTTTTTTGTTTATTTGGCTTTACGGCATTTCAGACTCAGTAGGTTATTCAATGCCGACAAGATATTTAGGATAGGTTCGTATGAATAGAATATGAATTCTTTGTAAAAAAAAAAATCAGTTTGTAGATCAGGTTTCATTGGCGTAATTTTGTAAAGTCGATTTTTGCCGAGAGTCAAATGTCTTGCTGGTAATTGTTTTTTAAAAACCTCCCGATCAGCAGCCTTGCTGCTGGATGTAGTTTATCGTCATACCCAGGACGCTCTAAAATCGTTGAGTCAAAAATAAAAGCTCTGTTCGTGTGTTTCCTGAAAACCGATATTTCCTTCAAGATTTCACTATATATATATATATATATATATATATTATTTTATATGCGCAGCAATTAGTGGAACGCGCTCAATATCAGTGATAGAACTAACGTATTCAGTTGTATGGATATGAGTTCGTGACCCTGGGTTTCACGCTTTTGCAAAAGCGTGAAACTCAGGTCACGAACTCATATCCATAAACTGAATATATATATATATATATATATATATATATATATATATATATATATATATGTGTGTGTGTGTGTGTGTGTGTGTGTGTGTGTGTGTGTGTGAGGGGGGTGCGTGTGTAAGGTTTTCTTATGCTATAAATCTGTTTAATTAACAGACATTTCCGTTTTATGTAGAAAGGTGCGTTCCTTGTGTCAGAAAAGACATATGACACAAAAGATTGCAGTGAGACTCGTTTTTAATTAGGTTTGCGTAAAAAGAAAGTTTCTGGCTCTACCGAGAAATACATGGGACATTCATGATAAATGTGTCAATAAGAAAGAAAGAAAGAAAGAAAGAAAGAAAGAAAGAAAAATGATGGAAAGAAGGAACGGCCTCGAGAAAGAAAAAAAAAGAAGAGAAACAAAAAGTAGAAACAATAAGATGAAGCCCTAAAAGAGGAAAAGGGAAGGAAAAAAATCAAAGACGAAAAAAAAGAAAGCAAAAGAAAAAATAGAAAGGAAAGAAAGAAAGAAAGAAAGAAAGAAAGAAAGAAAGAAAGAAAGAAAGAAATGATTCGAAAGTACGCCATAAAAGAAACAAACAAGGAAGATGTAAAGAAAGAAAGAAAGAAAGAAACAAACAAACAAACAAACAAATGAATAAATGAGAAAAAAGAAGATTATAAGAAAGAAAGAAAGACAAGGAAACAAAGAAAAAAAAGAAAAAAGAAAGAAAGAAAGAAAGAAAGAAAGAAAGAAAGAAAGAAAGAAAATTAAAAAAAGAGAGATCAAAAGAAAAGAAAAGAAAAAAAGAAGCTTTGTCAGGCGACTATTTTTCAAATGAAGAAGAGTGTGTTATGTAGTGAAATCATTACCGGTTGGGATGACATTTAATATGAAGATTGCTGACCGTCGATTTATTGTATGGCGCCCAAGCCATACCTCGCATTGAGATTTTCTAAGTTCAGATAAATCTCGCAAAAGACATAACTCTTGAACAGCCAGTGAGGCTAGAATTCAACATAATAATAGGCTGCAAATTCAGCTCGCTAACCAATACTCAACGACCAGACTTTAACCAAATGGAACACAGAGATCATCCGGACAACGACAGATTTTGATAAATTGGGTTTTAAGTTAGTTTCTTTTTACATGCAGAATTGTCGTTATTGATTTTTCTAACTACAATATTTAATGTCATATAAAACCCGCATTATTATTTTTATGAATACAAAATATTTCCTGCTCTTTGGTCTTGAGAGATTAGATCGGCTAACGTTTACTCAGATACCATAGACAAACAATCGTTTTACCTATGCTTCAATCCATAATACTGGAATATTAAATATAAATAACAGAGCGATTTAGAAGCAATGGTGATCTTCAGTTTGTTCTTAATGTCTCGGCCTACTTTTCTTGTTAAACGATACACTTTGCAATGAAGTGGTCGGCCCTGTTTTACTCAGGTGAATTGGGATGCGTAACTGTACTGGTCCACGGCCTACATCCAACTCTCATACATGGCTACAAGACATCGCCTGAGTAATGCGACAGCCACACACTAGTCAACGGCATCGATCTGCCGGCTAAACTGTGTGAGGGTAGTTTCCCGACCCGAGCGGTGAAGGGGAACGCTTCTCCCAACACATCTGTCCTGGCCATCGGCTAGTCGCCAGCCTGTGCATAGGAGCTGCGCTTTAGTGGTCAACGGCTTTACCAGTGGGTGGAGGAACTTCTGGGAGGAGGATGGGGTAACGTCAACATATATATATATATATATATATATATATATATATATATATATATATATATATATATATATATATATATATATATATATATATATATATATATATTAAGCAAATATATATATATATATATATATATATATGTCTGCTTGGATAGTATCAAATAAATATATATATATATTAACTGTTCGTGTTGGTGTGGCACTTTGCTCTATCGTAACAGGGTTTCGGTACTAAAGTCCGAAAAAGGTCGAAACGGCCGTCTGTGGTTTCTGATGACGTTTTTATCATCACCGGAATAATATATATATATATATATATATATATATATATATATATATATATATATATATATATATATATATATATATATATATATATATATATATATTAGAGTCATTATTGATCAAGTAAAGACTGAAAAATAAAATTGACAAAGATTAGTTTAAGGTTCGGACACGCATGTCTTAATTAGTTTTTGGTCCAGTGGCAAACCCCAAACTGACGCAATTGCGTTATCGTTGAATCGTTAAAACAATTTTCTTGTCAATGGTTTCGATTCTCAATGTAAAATAAAGAAAAAGTGGATGCACACTGCTGATGAGTCGAAAACACACACGGTTTTAAATAAGCTCGTCAGAATCAGTGGTTTCTGCATTCTGTTGACGACGCCTTTCTTATTCTAGACTTCTGAATGAATTATTATGTGATATATATATATATATGTGTGTGTGTGTGTGTGTGTGTGTGTGTGTGTGTGTGTGTGTGTGTGTGTGTGTGTGTGAAAAGTGTGTGTATAAACCCAGGGTCACAAACTCACATCAATATAAATAAATAAATAAATATATATATATATATATATATATATATATATATATATATATATATATATGAAAAAATGCGCAAGGATAGAACCCTATGTAAATATAAAAGTGGATACTAAGGTCAACAGCAAACGGCGACAGCCTATTTCATGCGTGAACGCAATCTTCAGGCCACGTGCGTTGACACAACTATTTATAATGTTCTGTAAATGAACAAATTAATAAACGATGAATGCAAACATCAACATAAGTAGATGTAATAATTATAATCACTAATAAATAAGAAAAAGGTCAACAAACAAAACTTGACAAACATAGTTTGGTATATATATTTAATAATTATAATGTTTTGGATCATTGATGCAAATCATGCAGTTTTCGACGAACACTGTGTCACTGCAAAGAAAGTGACCATTTCATCCGGATGGAAAATTCAATAAATATGAATAATAAAGGCAATATTTTAAGGAAGAGCATTCAAAATGACTTCCTTATAAATGTTGACTTGTTTGTGTCATGAGTCAAGCCAGGAAACAAGTGGCCACCCGACACGCCATTGTGACTGCATATAAAACACTTGACTTTCTTTAACTCACATTTGAAATAAAGATGTTCGTTCTCATCTCTTCCCGGGCGTGGGAATATGCAGGAAAGTGGGTGACTGTCACAACTTCCTCATCGTAAGCAACGGTTACTAACCATGATGATTGGTCATTGTATCACTTCCATGTCTTATATCTAGCTATCTACCTCAGTCTCTCCATTATCTATCCTAGTCTCTTCATTATTTATCTATCTATCTCAATATATCCATATCTATCTATCTATATCAATCGGATTATTCTTATCTATCAATCTATCTTACTCTGTGCATTATCTATCTATCTATCTATCTATCTATCTATCTATCTATCTATCTATCTATCTATCGTAGCCTCTTCATTATCTATCTATCTATCTATCTATCTATCTATCTATCTATCTATCTATCTATCTATCTCAGTCTATCCATATCTAGATATATCAATTGGACTATTCTTATCTATAATTCTATCTTACTCTGTGCATTATCTATCTATCTATCTATCTATCTATCTATCTATCTATCTATCTATCTATCTATCAGTCTTAGCCTGTTTATATCTATCTGTCCGGCTATTTACCACAATCTTTTCATACCTATCTACGTATCTATCTATTTTACTCTGTTCATCTTAGTCTGTTCATATCTATTTATCTATGTTAGTCTGTCCATATCTCCCACTCTCTCCCTCCCTCTGTCTGTCTGTATGTCTCTCTCTGTCTCTCTGACTCTGTCTCTGTCTCTGTCTCTATCTCTATCTATCTATCTATCTATCTATCTATCTATCTATCTATCTATCTGTCATATTTTAATGATACAACGAGCGTGTCTGTCGAACGAGCGAATGTCCACTCTCACTTTTGCTGCAGAAACCTGTATTTATTTCAATAAAACAAAGTAGTCTAACTATCCACAAGACAATCCAGGACTTTTTTGCTCTACCCCCCCCCCGCCTTCAGCGCCATGCACAAAACAGTGGTCAGTCGAACGCCGCCTCCGCCCTCACTAGTAGCCGTTGCCACCGCCACCGCTGCTGCTGCTGCTTGAATATCCCGCATTCCTTACAGGCCATTCGCTTTGGACTATACGATTGTGTTCACTCAGTGTCGATTGCAGCGTTGTCAACTGTTTTTCTTTTAATATTAGGAGGGGGTCTGCTTCTATACACACATAATCATAAACCCGGAAGACCTGACAAGAGTGAGAGATACCAGTTCTTCTCTTCTCTCTCTTTTTATCTCACTCTTTTTATAGATTTTAAATTACTTTTTTCGAGTTGTGGAGAACCTTTTGCAATTGAGTCGCTAACTTACCTTGGATATAGCAGCAGTCGTTTTACACATGGGGGTTGGACTTACGAAGCGTAAGTCGCTAACAATTACTGATTCAGCCATATCAAGGTAAGTTGTACCTTTTTTACTGTAACACGATTCTGTGTGTGTCTGTCTGTGTGTGTATCTGTGTGTGTGTGTGTGTTTATTATTGTAAGGAACGCACGAAAAATATTTCCATTTGCTTACCGATGTCTACTTACCTGTTTATAGCAAATACATTATTTTAAATTAAAATAATATTCTCTCTCTTACTCTCTCTCTAAGTAAACTTATATCTAGAAATAGGGTAAATGGTTTTTAATTTCGGTTGTCCGGTAATATATTTAGTAGTTTTATAAATATACAAAAACTAAAGAAAGAAACGTAAAGTTCAAAAACAAATAACAAATACACACACCTGATGATATCCGTGTGTGTGTTACACACTGCAGAGTCTGTGCGCATATCAGGAACATTATTAAATTGAAGGTTCTGTCTTGAGGAAAATCCGAGTTTATTAACGTGGAGAACATGATCGAAATTCAATTAAAATAATTCAATTTAGCGTAACTTATAACGATACAGACCTTTTATGTACGAAACAAAATGTGCAATCAATTCAGTGGTTGTTTTCACCGGATTGATTACACATAAAAAGAATTTTTAAAAAAATGTCCATAGCAGACTGAAAACAAAATGATCATCCATAAAGGGACGTCATTGTGGACAAAAAATTGTTTATAAAATTACTAGTTAGAAAAAGAAATGATTATTTTAATAAAAAAAAATATATATTATAAGATATGAAAGTTTTCGACTAAAAAACCCATTCACCGAGCTGGTCCGTCATTTCTGAGAAGGAGATATTTGACATGTTTTATTTAGTTACCTTCTGAATTAGACAAGTGACAATAAATAGAAAGAAAATATATGGAAGGGGGGTAGTGGGGGACTTCTTTTTTTTCTGTCTATCTTTCTTTCTTTTGCATTTACACATGATTATTTAATGGAACGCGCAAGTGCACGAAACGAACGTCCGACCAGCTTGAGGTTTAAATGTACACAATAGAAAACAATATATATATATATATATATATATATATATATGAAAGAGTGTGTGTGCGTGTTAGAGAGAGAGGGAGAAGGGGGTAGAGAGAGAGAGAGCTATTCTGAAAAGTGCTTTAATCATTTCCCCAAATTTGTACAAGCGACCAAACATCGGGTTTTATTTTGAAAATATTCTCAATCGATACACACACACACACACACACACACACACACACACACACACACACACACAAACACACGTGTATGTTTGTGCATGTATATTTATTTATCTAAAGTAGGCACTAACATGGAATGCCGTCTCTTTGTTTAGAAAATAGTGTTTTTGTTTTCTGGTCATATTTCAAAAGTCCAAGTATTGTGTCGCTTGCCGAATTTTTATTTGAAATATTTATTTATTTATTTACTAATTATCCACAGAGGAAAACAATCAGTTAAAATTAATAATCACCTAACCCTAACCCGCCCTCACCCTAACCCTAACCTTTACCCTAACCCTAACCTTCATGTTGTACGCATTGTGTTCCTAAACTGTTATTTGAATGAAAACAATGAAAACACATTTTTTTTATTTCTTGAACAGGCATTTAAATATTGAATTTCCAAAATATGATAACAATTGTCAGATCTGGCAATTGGCGAATGGAGACGTATTTCAAATACAATCACTCTTCAAATTGAAAAGGTTATTTTGACTGCGTAAATGTAGCAGGAAAAGGAGACTTTCAGTTTACTGTTTAGTGTTTATCTGTTTTTATAGATTGGCAAATAAATCTTCTTTTTTTTTAATCTTTTTGTTACGGTCATTTTTTTTTTTTTTTTTTAGATTTTATAGATAACAATCTTCCACCTTCAAACACACCCATCTGAATATGAATGTCTCTGGGTGCGCGCAACGTGCTTCGCATTCCTTATTGAAGATTAAAACAGAAAGAAAAATGCCCGCATATTTCCCTCCCCAGGTGGCATTTTCCAATATGAACTACAAAACCAAGGGTTAGAAATATCGATGATCTAAAATGTTTTCTCCTACTTAAGATATTTATCGCAATATCGTTTCAGTATTTAACAACTGGCCTGTGATTTTAGTAAAGAAATACCGTCATTATAATGGATAGATATGAACAGAGATAGATAGATATGAACAAACATAGATAGATAGATATGAACAGAGATAGATAGATAGATAGATAGATAGATAGATATGAACAGACATAGATAGATAGATATGAACAGACATAGATAGATAGATAGATATGAACAGACATAGATAGATAGATATGAACAGACATAGATAGATAGATAGATAGATAGATAGATAGATAGATAGATAGATAGATATGAACAGACATAGATAGATAGATAGATAGATATGAACAGACATAGATAGATAGATAGATAGATATGAACAGACATAGATAGATAGATAGATAGATAGATATGAACAGACATAGATAGATAGATATGAACAGAGATAGATAGATAGATATGAACAGAGATAGATAGATAGGAAGGAAGGAAGGAGGGACAGACCAGATAGATAGATAGATAGGAAGGAAGGAGGGACAGACCAGATAGATAGATAGATAGGAAGGAAGGAGGGACAGATAGATAGATAGATAGGAAGGAAGGAGGGACAGACCAGATAGATAGATAGATAGATAGATAGATAGGAAGGAAGGAGGGACAGACCAGATAGATAGATAGATAGATAGATAGATAGATAGGAAGGAGGGACAGACCAGATAGATAGATAGGAAGGAGGGACAGACCAGATAGATAGATAGATAGATAGGAAGGAGGGACAGACCAGATAGATAGATAGATAGATAGGAAGGAGGGACAGACCAGATAGATACATAGACAGATAGATAGGAAGGAAGGTGGGACAGACTAGATAGATAGATAGATAGATAGGAAGGAAGGAGGGACAGACGAGATAGATAGATAGATAGATAGATAGATAGATAGATAGATAGATAGATAGATAGATAGATAGATGCAGGTACTGCCAAAGAAAAGCGATAACTAATGTTTAAAAATATTTTTAGAAATGAAAATCTTTCTTGAAACTTAATTCCATTAATTAAAAATCGTTCATTTTTTAACGATTTTTTATAAAATAATTTTTCTGAAACAAAGATTAGTTCATTAAAAGTTTAATTAATCTGATTTGAAAAAAAATAGTTACTTTTAGTTTAAAATATCGCAGAAAAGCATTTTTTTAACACGGAGTGAGTATTTTTATGAGGTTTTGACAACTCTTTCGATAGACATATGTTTGGGATTTTTTTTCAAATGGGTACAATTACTGTACCATTTACTTGAATATAACGCGAACGTCTTTTTTATATTTTTTAACTACCCAGTAATGTTTAAAATTTACAAAAATATTCTAAATAAACTAATATTTTATTGAATTGTAGGTACTTTGGTTTAATAGTCTTACTTGCAGATTCGCTTACTGAGGAAATTACCAATAAATTTTAAATTTACTATAGTTACCGATCTTATATTCTGTAACTTTATTTTAATATCGTGTACGGACGTCCGTATTTACAAAAATTGCCATGTTTATACACACGAAAAAAATCAAAATTCCTTTTAAAATACTGGGTGTCGCTGAATTGTAATAAGCTTTCCCATTTGTTCTTATTAAGGAATACACTTTTTACTTCATTCTAATATCGAACTAACCGCCACAAATTAATACAGAAATTGAAAAGATTTAAAACTTTATAAATTATTATAATTAAAATTTTAAAAAAATAAAACAATTCTTGTAAAAATTAATTATTCATCGAATTAAAAAAAAAAAAAAAAAACAAAAAACAATACTGTCCATTCATGGAAGCATTTAATTGCTTTCACGAATGAACTCTATTGATTTTATCCTGTTTGGCAAAAGAAATTGATGATTTAAATCCTCCAAAGATTTCTGCTTTTAACAATAAACATGAAGCTCTACAAAATTGAATTTCTCCAAATTTCATAAAATTAAATGAGTGGCGGGAGATAACAGAGGTAAGAAAATATTTTTACCAAGATTTTCTAAAAAAAACAAAAACATTTCTAAACTAATTTTATTCATTTGTGAATAAATTCTGAAAGTTTCATTAAAATGCGACAATTATTTGATTTTTGCAAGAATTTCCAAATGAATGTATTTTGCACCACAAAAAAAAGTTCGAATTTCACATACTAATTTATGGTCAACATTGACGTAAGAAAAACAAAATTTTTGACCAAAATTTTGAAGATTTTAAAATGGATTAAAAAACGTAATTTAATGATCAAAATATCCTTCTGTCTTTCCTCTGGATAATAATAATTTTAGGTTGGTGCATAATTACCAGGCATTTTTGTAGACGAGTTATTTGTTAATAAAAATTGCTGATTTTTTAAAACTTTTTTTAATAAAAATATTATAAAAATGCGTGTCTGTAATCATACGCTCAGGAATAATCATTTAAAAATGTTATTGTTGAATTGATATGTTTCTTTTTCATAATAAATATTGTTTAAAAACGCCTGATAATTATGCACCATTCCAATACAAAGATTTTGAGACAATTTTCTTTTTATTAGATTTGGGCCATTTTTCATCATGTAAGCGCAATTTTTAGTGAATCATTAGATGTACCTAGATTGATGATATTTCAAGGTGTCGCTTAGATGTAGTACAAGGTCGAAAGTATGGGGCACCCAGTGAGGATTAAACTCACTTCTCAGTCGTAATTGATCTAGCAATACAAGCTTGTTAACCATTACACCACCACGTCAAAGGGCCCAAATGTACCGAGATTGATATGCTGTGTCCTATCTTTGGTCGCCACACAACAAAAGCAGACCGAGTCTCTGGAGATCCGTCTACCAGGCAGCACCTCTACATTTTACTAATACACTTTGACGTCTGAAGCAGAAGCCAGTGAGATTGAGTTAATTTTCCCTTAGCCCACACGTACACGTTTGAGGCCCCACATTAAAGTTGACCTTGTGTCATAATCGCCCTCATCTAAAGACACACATGACTTTATAAAGGTTTTATTTTCTCAATTCCATATCTGCCAGATTTTTTTATGGACGTAAATTCAGTCAAATAGTTTTTTTTCAATGGAGCATGAAATTGACACAGCCTGAATAGACAACAAACAGATTGTCAGGTAAAACTTAAAATCCTGAATACGTAAAAAAGAGTTTTTTTTTTTTTTTTTGTGTGTGTGTGTGTGTGTGTGTGTGTGTGTGTGTGTGTGTGTGTGTGTGTGTGTGTGTGTGTGTGTGTGTTCGCGTACGCGCGCGTTCAACCCGGTTATGAATCAGTCAAGTGTATGTCATTTTCTTCAACAATAAAATGTTTTGTTTAGGAATCGCAAACGGATTTATTTTGTGCCTGTGCCAATGTCAGAATAACAATTGAAATAATTATTTACTTATTATGATTTAATATTTAAACTATGAATGGTACCGGGTCTATCTATCTATCTCTATCTATCTAGCTAGCTCAGTCTCTTCGTATCTATCTCGGTCCCCTTTTCCTATCTATCTATCTATCTATCTATCTATCTATCTATCTATCTTGATCTCTTTGTGTCTATATCAGTCTCCTAGTGTCTGTATTTCTGCCTATCTATCTAATTATGGCCTCTATCTGTCTGTCTGTCTGTCTGTCTGTCTGTCTGTCTGTCTCTCTCTCTCTCTCTCTAGCTAGCTCAGTCAATATTTGTATCTCTATCTCAGTCTCTTCGTATCTATCTCGGTCTCCTCTTCCTATCTATCTATCTATCTATCTATCTATCTATCTATCTATCTATCTATCTAGGTCTCTATGTTTATATCAGTCTCCTCGTGTCTGTATTTCTATCTATCTAATTATGGCCTCTATCTGCCTGTCTCTCTATCTATCTATCTATCTAGCTAGCTAGCTAGCTAGCTAGTCTATTTGTATCTATCTCAGTCTCTTCATATCTATCTCGGTCTCTTCTTCGTGTCTATCTATCTATCTATCTATCTATCTATCTATCTCTCTCTTATTATATATATATATATATATATATAATCTCGGTCTCTTTGTATCTATCTATCTATCTATCTATCTCGGTTTTCTCGTCTCTATCTATCTATCTATCTAATTATGGCCACCGTCTATATATATATATATATATATATATATCATTATGCCCACTATGTAAGTCTATTCGTATATATGTCAGTTCATATATAAGAACATAATGAGATCGATACGAACAGACTGAGTTTTCAGAATGCATGCGGTAATGACTCTCCACGCCTTCCTTTTCTTCGTTATCTGTGAATTACTATGCATTCTTCAGAAAGATTGCAGTGTAGTTTCCCTTACTTCCTCAGCGGTGTGGGATTCAGAGTTTTCATTCTCCTAGCCTAGTTGCCACCCATTGCTAGACAACCTATTGAATCCATTGCTAAGAGAAGAAGGAGCCATGGATTTCCGCAATACATTTCTGCCGATGTTAATGTAAAAGACCAGCGCGGAATTTGAACCAGTCTCATCGGTTCCACTTTCAACGACGTTAACCACTACACTATATCGCGTGTATCTTTATTACGATATTTTATGAAGTTTAAATGTTTGTGATTTGAAATCATCCGATGAATGTCAATTAGTGTTCCGTTTACCGGGCTCGCTACAGGATTGAATTGAGATTAATCTGTCGCCATATTTATTACAACGTTTCAGCCTTTCAGTATCTGTCTATATTTCTGAGATGAGGTATTATGTACATTATTTACATTATTCTTTGTTGACATTTATCACAGCGTTTCGGCCTTCTTCAGGTGGTTGGTAGTTTGTTCTAGTTCCATGTGCCATGCCTAAAGGATGTCAGTTATCATTTAATTCCCCTCTCCAAGTTCTCTTAACCAGGACGTCCTGTCACTGGTTCTCTTAGCTCTTGGCGTCCTGTCACTGGTTCTCTTAGCTCTTGGCGTCCTGTCACTGGTTCTCTTAGCTCTTGGCGTCCTGTCACTGGTTCTAACCAACGCCTTTATCCATTGTGCCATGTGTCCTTAAGGACATCTGTGTATGAATTTCTGGGATTTATAAACTTAATGTCTTCAGCAACCATTTTTACCAGTGCTCATATTAATATGGTCACAAAGATGAGGACAATAGTCCGAATAATGTAAATAATGTACACTGACGTTAATTCAATTGTTTTGTTAAAAAAGAAATAAAAAAAGAGGTTTATTTAGTAAGCGTGAAATAAATAAATTTAATTCAGTTGTTTCGTGTAAAAATATATTTAATAACCTGACGATAATTGATTCATTAAAAAGAAGAAAAAAAAACAGTTATTTAGAAAGTGGACGATAAATACCCGACATTTTGAATGCTACGATTTTTCTATTGTTACCTCACAAGGTGCCCGTTCAATAAAAGTCAAACCGAAACGTCTTCCATAGAAGACTTTTTTAGATTTTGAAATACGTTTAAAAACACGTAAGGGAATGTAATGGACCCGACTGGAATTCGAACTCGGCTCTCCGATGTCTCAATCTGAGCCGCTATCCATTACTCCACCGTGATTCCTCAAGAAGTGCTAATTATAAGAAAACAAAACGTATGGTCATCAGCAAGAGCAAAAACCCAAAATGCGAGCTCCAAATTCGAAATATCAACATGAAACAATTACAGAAGTTTAAGTATGTACTAATGATACCCAGAATAAAATAGTCAACTGGAATTTGTAGGACACATAATAAGAATAGAAGATTTCGAAATCTGGTAATAGTGATTTTCTAAGTGTAGCTTAGATATGGCACAAGGCCGAAAGTATGGGGTACCCAGTGAGGATCAAATTCACTACTCAGTCGAAATTGTTCTCGCGAGGCAAACTTACTAACCATTACACCACATCAAGGTACGAAAAATGATTATTCTAAACATAATTTAGATGTGGTACAAGGACACAAGAATGGGGGTACACAGTGAGGATCGAACTCAATACTCAGTCCTAATTGTTTTAGGAGGAATTGTAAAAATGTAAACAATGCTAACAGCTACAGAGGATAGGACGTTGTGGGGAGTAATGATCGCCCACATCCTGAAGAGACACGGTAGACGGAAAAGACTTAACAGCTGAATATTTGTTGATTTCAAATAATGTATGCCGGTGGGGTCTGCGGACTTAAAAAGCGAAACTATGTAATGATAGTATCAAGCAACTATTCATCTAAGAAAAAACAAAGATAACGCCCCACTCAACATAGCCGCTCAAGAAACCCGCCAAGATAATTTGTTTTTAATTCTACCATTTGTCCTCTTGAATATTTTGTAACTTTTACGAGCGAATACATAAAATCTTTTAGTATTTTTCTAAAATCTGGGTCAAATGTTTTCTTCGTGACATTTCGGTCTATCACTCGACGTAAGAACAAAGAGAAGACAGCTGGCGAGAGTTTGTCTTTATCTATTGAAACTTATCGATTTGCATCTAACTTGAGAATATAACAGAATGCATGAGATTAAATAGAAATGACACAAAACACTTTGCAATCGGATCTATGACAGAGATAATCATCTCCGGGTTGCGGGTGGACATCTTAGTGGTGTGGATGGACATCTTCGGGATCTGGGTGGACATCTTCGAGGTGCGGTGAAAACTTCCGGGACGCAGGCGTACATCTTCGTGTGCCAGTGGACACACTCAGGGTGTGGATAGACATCTTCGGGGTGAAGGTAGACATCTTCAAGGTGTAGGTAAACATCTTCGGGATGTGGGTGGACATCTTGGATTTATATATATATATATATATATATATATATATAATTATATAATTATTTATTTAAAAAATATGATTCCTTCGCTACATGTTTCAAAACAAGAGCCGAAAACTTCAATATAATTATTTGAATTAAATTGAATTAAAGTACCAAGCTCTGTTCCATCTTCAAGCGACATTTTTGGCTCTTGTTTTGAAACATGAGAACTCTTATGTAGCGAAGGAATCATATTTTTAAATAAATAATTATATTTAGGCTCTACTTTTGTATTGAGCACTGTTTTTTTTTTAAAATAAAAACAAAAATACTAAAGAACTTCGGATTGTTTACCTAACGAGTTATTTCCTAATTCTATATATTTTCACACACACACACACACACACACACACACACACACACATATATATATATATATATATATATATATATATATATATATATATATATATATATAACTTAAACGATATAATTACTATTAATAGGCACATAGCTTTCTGAGCATGAAACCCGAGTTCGAATCTCAGCCTTGTCGATTTCCCAGAAGGTCACTTCTTGATGTTATCAATCTGGAGGAGATTATCCCACCCTCCTGAGGTACCTTTGGAAAATACCTGAAAACCATTTCTCGAGTGAACCCAAAGTGAAATTGAGTAGACATCGATGGCTGTGCTAGAACGAAGTCACAAGTCATCGTGGTCGAGGGTTTGAGTGTACTGGTCTTGCTCAGCTTGTTGATCACGCTAGCTAACACGCTTCTCCCCCAGAAATTGTAACATAGTTCATCTTTTGCATAGTTGCCGGATAAACCCCCGTTAGGCTCTGTAAATGTTGAACAAACACAAAAATGTGCCTGAGCAAGCGTCTGCAATAGGGATTGGCTAGCCTCCCTAGTTGATGGGTATTCTCCGAATACGAGTGGCCAGTCATAAGATAAGATTATTAGTGTATATTCGTATTTGAAATATACGCCCGTTTTTTTTTTATTTTTAGTTTAAACAGTGTGCATTACGTCTATGTATCCGTGTATTCGAGGAATTCAGTAAAGAAAATAACACATTTTCTTCATTGGGATTTCTTTAATTCACAGGCAGATAGACGTAATGTAAACTGTTTAAATTAAAACACCGTCAAAAACTGTCTAAAAATGTGCCATATTAGGCGGTCTGTTGGCCCGTACTTGGCAGAAAATCTTCCATTCATTTCTCGTTTAATTGTTTCGGCTGACCAATGATTTTACCCCTTCGGATTACTGCTGTTACTATATATGAAGCAAGTCACCTCCAAAAATTGTATCGTTTTGAAAATCATCTGGCCTGGCCTTCAGTGTCCAAAACAAAATGTGTAGCTAAAATTTAGAATACTGGCGACGAGACTTGGGATTTCTTCATTTCACAGGCTTCTCCCCAAGCTGAAAAGTTACAGTGTCTCTGGAAAAATTTTGAACTGATCCAATCTTTCTTATCAAAATGTGAAATGAAATTTACCCTGAACGGCCACTCTTCCCATTCCTTTCGTACTAATGCAAGGGACTCTCCACCCCCCGCCAAGGTTCTCACCTTGGTCCTGCTTTTCATTGATTTTCATTAATGACCTTCCCGATGTCATCAGCTCTTAACTCGGTATCTACGCCGGTGACATTTCCTCCTGTCTCGATAGTCGATTTGATAACTTTGATAAGGTAAAAATGGCAGCTGATATACAAAACGACCTTCAGTTTGTTGCTAACTGGGGCAAAGAATGGCTTGTTAATTTTAACGCTCCCAAAACTAAACTACTCTCTATTAATCATTTAAGAGAAACCTCAATGCATTCTATCAACATGGCTAATGCTGACCTCCAGGAGAATGACTCATTGTGCCTTCTCGGGCTAACGTTCTCAGATGACATGAAGTGGAATATTGAATCCATTGCTAGGTCAACTGCTAAGAAAGTTATGCTTAGCACATTGCTGCCACATATGGTCTGGTTCCACCGCTATTTATTTAGAAAACTTTGATAAAATACAAATAAGAATCTGCAATATTATTGGTCTTGATCTTGCCTCTCGGCTTCAATCACTTTCCCACTGCCTTAAGGTTGCCCCTCTGAACCTTTTCTAAAAATACATTCATGGTAATTGTTCTGATGAGCTCTTCACTACGGAACCAAGACTCTTTGAATTTAAGCGCAGTACTAAACTGGCGACGAGATCTCACCGATTTACAGTTGAAATGGTTAGATGTAACTGTAAATTCTATGCTAACAGTTTCTTCACTCGCACTTCTCGCTTGTGGAACTCCCTTCCGGTTCCATGCTTTCTAGCCAACTTTAATCTGCAAAACTTAAATGCAATTTAAATCTCTATCTCCTCTCCTCTTGGTTACTCTTCCTTTTTGTTCTTT